ATTATAAAACTCAGCACTTATTAAGTAATCAGCTAGGTTGTACTGAAGAAGATAGTTAATAATCACATGATTTGCTTGTGAGTACTGTTAGGCTTAGGAATCATTAGAGTGTGTAAAATTCAGGATATCAGTCGATAAACTCAAATTGTGATAGTTTTCAGAAGCATATACACACTTATATTCATTGTGTCCTTGTTGCCCATCACTAGTAGTCATGATCTGACCTAAACAAACTGGTTAGCACTCACGAGGTGTGCAACATAGATGGCACTGAAATTGAAACCAAGTCGGAAATTAAACATCTTGGCGTCATTCTATCTGCTGATCTTTCCTGGTCGTCTCATATCTTGACGATTTCTAAGAAAATATTCCGTCTTATCTTCTGCATCAAGAAGTTAAGACATTCTGGTATAACCCAACCGTTACTACTACAATTTGTTAACTCTTGCATCCTGCCTATTATTCTCTATTGTTCCCCCTTAGTCTTTCCTGGGCTATTGAAGAAAGACTATACCTTATTATGTAGGATGTTAAAAGTTGTCAGCAGGGTAAGCAACGTGCCACTTAGCCAGCTTGTTAATATTCTGGTGGACAGGCACATGGACTCATGTGAAAAATGGGCAAAAACCATTTTATCTGACTCACAACACCCTCTACATTCACAACTCTCCCCATGTATCTCTTCAGGGAAAACCAGAAGCCTATATAGTAAGTACAAAAACTCATCCATACCCTACCTAGCTCGTGTTCTGTGCGATAACGAAAGCATTGGGCGTGAAACCTTTTACTTATTAAATAGTCAGTAGAACAATGGATCTCGTCTTTCCAACTCACATCATTTACAGGTACAACGTTTTTTCTCCCTACTTTTTTATTCTGTATTTATTTTTGTTATGTGCTGTTTTGTTTCTCTCTTCCTTACAAACTCTACTTAAAACATTCTTTTTCGTTCTTTCACACTCTGTATATCTCGACCATTTTGCCATCGCTTACGCCAGTAAATATGCTAGTAGTATCTACTTTTCTAACACCTTCAAACACTCTGTTTTAAATTTTGGCTTTGCTACCGACATGCTAATATGTTGTTGTCAAAACTGACTGAGATAACTTTAATCTGTGTAGAAATTTATTTATTGTTAATGTAACAACTGGATGCAATATTGTAGTAAAATGCTGAGAATTCCATTCTGTATCACAAGTACTGATTTGGAATAAAGCTATTATCTTATCTTATAATGCATTCTATAGCGTCAGTTGTGTGCATCCTAATGGTAAAATGCTTTTTTGAGCGGTGCTGTATATTTCATTCAAGCATTTTTTCAATCTCTGAATTTCTTTTAACGAAAACACTCTGAATAGAATACACAGTGCATTGATCGATTGACAGGGTTTAATGAACCCAGTTTTTTTCTGATCCTATGTGTTGGTGCGGACTGCATTCTGTCAGTTTATTTTGAGAGTGGGTCACCGAACTAAGTAATTTGTCATCTCTGTGACCTTCTAAATAGAATTGAATGTTTGAAAGCAATAGGTCTTCTAACCGACACATGCAGTATGTAGTACCGACGATTAGCTCAATTTCTTTAATTATGTGAATCTATTTCACTTGACTGGCGATAGGTCCAGGTTCATTTTGTCGGGCTGACATATCGCTGAGCCTTGCTTGACCGACAGTAATCCAGGAGAAAATTGATGGTTGGTTGGCCGTGAGGCTAGAAGCCTCACTGTATAAAAAACCACCACTACCGAAACTTTAGGACACAAAATTTGAAGCCTTGTGGTATACTTTGACCATAGAGAGGTTGAACAAAAACTTTGGTTATCAAAATTAGTATTCTTTATGATTTCTTTTAAAAACTTTGTTTAGCCGGTAGTAATGCCAGCGAAGTGGAAGGCTTGAGGTGTAGCCAGTAGCTCCGTCATGTGAAGAAAGGAATAACCCACTGATAGTAGAATTTGAAGGCTTGAAGCTTGAAACGGTACATTCCACCAGAAACAAAAAGAAAAAAATATATAAATAAAATAAAATTTCTATCATTATTATTAGCATAAGTTACATCATCAATATATATTGTTCCAACAAAGCATGAAAAAAGTAGGCTAAAGTACCAAAAACTGTATCATGTGCCTTTCGAGTGGCTTAAAAATGACTTAAAATGGTCAGCATACATTCACACACATCTTACCCTCTTTAGCCTAAGGAACATGTCTGACTGTAATTGAAATTCAATGTCTTCACTTGATCGTAGGTTTGTATATGCTATTCTACTTAGCATTTAATTTGTGGATGGTGACTAGCAGTGGAATCCAGGATGCGTATTTCGTCTAATTAGGACTCGTCATCTGTATGTACCTACATTTCCCAGTGAGTGATGGTGTTCTCACCGAGGCTCGAACCCAGTGCCCATAGTTTCAAACGCCAAAGCGTTATCCACTAGACCACTTGGGCCACGAGAGCCACCTCTTGTGCAACGGGTCATATATTAATTATTGAATTGAATTTTCGATTTTCCCGTCGATTGATTGGACCAAAGTGCTCGGTCTCAGGTTGATATGCCAGCTTCTTGTGTTGATGTTTTGATGATGTCTAGGCACTTAATTAGAAGTTAATTGGTGGATGGTCAGCACTTCGGTCCAATCAAATGACGGGAAAATCTAAAATTGTATTAACATTTTTATGATTATTTTACACTTTTTGTACACTTTTGACTTTATTGTCACTGCAAATAACAAAAATGTTGTTATGATCAATCCTGTAATATAATTTTTTGTTCTCGTTTTTACTGTTGTTGGGTAAATTAGATGCACTTTTGTACGAAATGTTGCGAAATCTACACTGTTTTGAAATAAAGCAAATTATCACTATTATTATTACAAAATTCACCAGCAGTGAGAAATGACATCATCGCTAGTGATAGATCGTGTAACGTTGTGATTTAATTTGGCTGTGTTGTGTGAGCTAGATGGTGATTTAATTGCTATGCTTCTGCTGTCCTTCTGGAAAACATCTTCAGTGTAAGCTTCAGTACGGAGTGGACTTATTTATTTGAATTCCCCATGAATGATATAATATTATCTCCTGACAACCTTTATGACGATTGCTTCTCAATTTACATCTTTGTTGACCATTTTTTTATTGACTTGGAGTTTAAAATTTCTTGTCATATGATTTATTCTTCATTAGTTGGTAAATTTGATCTGTATTACTGTGACTGTTAATAGTTGATTCATTTGAGTATCAGGCTTCTAGAATTTCTCTGTCGTTGGCTAGTGAATTTGATTCCAATGCCTGAATTAACCACACGGTTACCTTGTAACTTAGGGAGCTCTTTGGTTGGAATCCCGGTGAGTGTGCACAAATGAAGAGCCTCGGACTAGGGTGTAACTGGAGTCCATTACTCCGTAACTTTCGAATGGTTCTCCAGCTGATGTCAGCTTTTGATGAAACGTGTAACTTCAAGCTGTAAAACTCCTCTTCGTTGTATTTCTCACTTGTACGGCATTCAAAAGGGTAACATGCATTTCGGATAAATTGAAGAGTTTTATTCCCTCATATTTTAGGGTCTTGTTATCATTGAATCACTAAGCATATATTGTCAATAAACTGATGGAAAACTCTTGTGCCCATAAATACAGTATACATCTTATTTCTTTGAGAAGATAACTCGTCAAGAATGAATGAAATACAACCAAGTATCTCTCCTTCATATTGAAATTATGCCTACATATTAATTTCTTTAAGATATGAGAATTCCTCTGACGATCTATATATTTATATTCATCATTATTTCAAGTATCAGCCTAGAGGAAAGAATTCAGTATTAAGTTACTCATTGAAAAAGAAATCGATATCATTGTTAATGAACAGCCTCTCTTGTCATCACTGAGACGACAAGTAGAGAATATTTTCTTTGTAGCTTTGTAAACACGAATATTTCCGTGCCACACACACACACTCATACACATACATACACACAAACAGTTCGAACAAATCAAGTAGAACATATTGAGCAGGATAAAATAACGTGATTATATTTCGTGGGTTTTTTCGGTTGCGTAAGGCCATGAACAATTTAATAATAATAGTACAAAATGTTTAAATATGGTAGTTACTGTTCATAAAAATGGTGGATATTATTATCGTCAGGTGATTAATCAGTCTAGTGGAAGGGAAAAACAACCTTTGTTAAGCTTATTATTATGTATGGAAGTAATTACGAAGTGTTCTGGGGTTATGGACGAACGTTAGAAATTGAGCAGGGGAGTAGAAGCACTACTATGTATATGTAAGGGTAAAATAATACAATCAACAGATACTAAAGACGATCTGGTCAGGAATAGAGATTTTCAAATAAACAGAGATAAATATTCAAAAGTTTATCTGTAGGGATTCGGTTTGTTTCCTTTTTGACCACGGATTTATATCAGCAAGAGAACCAATGAAAAACAGTCCTAGTTCGTGACTCATAGGTATTACGGACCCCCTGAATGCAAGGAGTTCACATGGAGCACTAAGCCACTGGGACCTGACTCACTGGTTCATGAATTCTAACACCTACAGTGTCATAATTTTGTCGCAGATGGCGAAACCTAGTGTTACTCCTGGAGAGTATTTGTCTTCACTCCAGACCGAGTGAACCCCACTGGACACGAATTCTCAGGCAGCTTCATCCTACAGTGATCATGCGATTACTTTCGAAGAGTTCGTTGGTTGAGATTCGCTCAATTTCAAGTTTGCCTTGAAGGTGGAAGGTCCTGAGTTTGAAACCCGGCAGTTGCGTAATGCCGATGAGTCCCAAACCAGAGTAAAAACAACTGTCCAGTAGTCCCAGATTTTCAACGGTTCTCTGAATGATATGAATCCGCAATCACGCTTGAAGTACAGACAAAGAAAAAGGAAACTACGTTGTCAGAACAGAATATAATAAAAATGATAAAAGTAACATAAATAATATTTACGATGGTAAGGCAAGATTACCAACGGTTTCTTTCGGACGCACAAATTTGGTTATAATTGTTTATTCTTAATCGCTTCAGCGATACACACCAACCTGGAGCTATCTTGAACTTTAATTATTACATTAAGGAATTTTAATGAATTGACTTCATGACCACTATCTAATAGGTGGCAAGCATCGCAGTAATGAACACTTTTGCATCTTTCAGACACAGGTGTTCAGCTATACGGTCACAAATCCTTCTTTCTGTTCGTCCGATGTGTATGCTATGGCACGTACATGCGAATCGGTTCATGCAGTTAGGTGTAGCATGAAAGGGGATGGCAGCTGCAGAAGCTCTTTGAGAAACAGCAGTCATGCTGTATTCAATTCTTCCAGATATGTCATAGTCTTTGAAACCAAAGCTAAGGAGGGTTGGTTTCTTTTGCACTCTGTGTTGTGCTCCTTTCATATTTGACATCCTCCTGGGTTTATAAATAAATTTTTAGATTAAAACCAAATTTATTCATCCGAAAGGAAACATTGTCAATCTTGCATTAGCGTGTTAAATATGTCGTCTTAGTGTAAACTGTATGAAAAAGGTTAGATTATCCATGGGTAGTTGTGTACATGTCTGTTCTTGTCGTTTAATATTCATGACTCTCAGATACGATTATTCCCCAGTACTAAGTTGGTTTCAGAAGTATTCGTTTACTTAAGATGTTTTTTTCAATTTCTTTACTTTTTGAATGGGACATATGGCTTCAAATTTCGAATTTTCGGCAGTGATGCTGTTTCTACAGGGTGAGGTGGCTAGCTTCACGCTCAAACTTCCCTTTTTTACCAACTTGTCACTGGCTTGGCTAGTTCTAGGGTGGCTTTGGCCTAGCGTTGGACTTAAACCATATGAGTGGACCCTTGAATCTTCGACATACACTACGGTAGATAGAGTGTAATAATTTTCGAGACTGTCTGAGTTAATGTTAACCTTGTTAGTAATATCGTACAACTGTTTAACAGGTCAATATGACAATTTTATGAAAGAAAAATCTGATAAGTTTAAAGCTGACCAAACAAAAGTCTAGGTTGCTCAATTTCCACTGACATTTGTAGGAGTAGAAAGCAGTTGACAGCATGTTAAGTTTAAGGTTATTGAATAAACTGCTTTCTTAATTATTGGTGAAGCAGCATTCAAACACTTAGTAATGGTGACCACGTTGCAAACTTGACTGACAGAATTCAATCTTCCCCAAACGACGGACTAGGGGTATGACAGTTACCACTTAGTACGCAATCAAAGTATTCACTGAAGTCTTACACGAAATTAATCGCCAGCCCGTATAGTTCAGTGGTAACGTCTCTGACTGCAGCACTGACCGACCAAGGGTTTCGAATTTCAGAAGGCATATGAGTTCTTTCAGGATTGCAGATACGCTTTACTGGCGGAAGCTATTAAGCACGAAACCTAGGCGCAAAGCTTCTCGCTACTCAGGAGGTGTACTAAAAACCCCTGTGGGATATTAACTACCAATGCTATCAGTGAATTGAAACTCCAGGAATACATTATTTTGAATACACATGAAAACAGGTGTAACTGTGTTCACTGCTTAAAAATGACTGGATTAATGGTTTTCTCGTATTTATAGCTTCAAATAGTTTTCCAGGCAACATACTGTAGGTTTTACCAACTGATATCAGTTAGAAGCCATTCAAAAACCAGGTAGCAATATGGAACAAATTATTTGTTATGGTCTGGGACTCCGGTAGTACACACCCATTGAGGTTTGGACCCAGGACCTTCTGGTCACAAGACGAGCTTGTAGATCATTTATAAACTCAATTCCAACCCAGTGGCCTATGAATTCCAGCTTATGCCAATTTGCTATATATAGCGCTGCCACCAGAAACTTTCATTGGCGATTAACTGTTCTTTTACATGACTTGGCTGAACCTTGTGGTCACTACTTCTCATTAGAACGCCAAATAATTTCCTGCATACTGTCACTCACCAGTAAGCATTAGATTTGTTTACTAAAATGATTTCTCAGAGAACAGGCTCTAAAATGTATTGAACCTAATCACTGAAAGCGTGTCACTGATAAATAAAAGCATATACCACCGGAAGTTTTTAAAGAATAATAATAGGAATAATAATAGCCTTATTCTGGACAGTATTTATATAATATCAAAAAATTTTTGGTGTAGTTTATTGCATGATATTTTTCTTTTGTTCAATATCTTCAAGTAAAATATTACTTGACAGTATAAACTATGACACAGTTGTCTCTGAGCTGAAGCACAAACTATTCCATTGCGATAGATCTGCTTTGTCACCTTCAAGAAATCCATCCACGATATCTAGCTGGAAGCCGATTGTAAGATGTTCAGAAGTACATTTTGAGACTCAAAGACCGAAGAACAGCTATCTCATGTACTGGAACACTTTGCCGCCCGTAATCAGGCCTTTCCTCATGTTTAGTAGGAACTTGGGAATCAGAGGACAGTAAACATTTTCAATACACACAAGAGTAGATAATACCATTAGTTACATCTTAATCGATTAAAACAAATCGAACGGGTGGAAATAAACACAGTATGAAGTTGGAAGTTTTGGTAGCTTAAGTTTCAACCAGGCCGCCGTTCACCTACGCCTTTCATACTGTGAATTCAATCAAGAAGCGTTTGGATGAATTCAAGCGGTGCTTAGTCGGCCACTACACGTGAAGATTCACCACGGTATACAATTCATGTGTCAATTTCGGAACATTATATCTAATTTCATGTTAATCAAATCCCTGCAAACCTGCTTTTAAAAATTAACCTACTACCTACTATTGAATTCTACTGACATAAATCGTTACCATTAAGGTCCACTGAGTCGAATTGTGGGGGTAAATACCTGTTGATGATATTTGCTGAAAACTGATAAATTTATATTTCGCGGAAAGGGAAAATTTAGAAATTACTAGTGTTGCAATCTGTCCCACTGGTGGAATAGGTGTGAACTGAATGTACCAGGCCCGATCGCTCTTTATAATGCAAAGAATACATACCTTTTAACCGTTTTGACTTAAGACGAGATGGCTTATTCTTTAGTTCCCAATGTTTTCTTACTGATGTCATTCCGTAGTTTACATGATGATACCTCTGAAGTGCTTTCCAAAACAACTCTGGATATTGATGATTTTCAATACAGTCTTTCATGAAGTTTACTTTGCCGTGTAATTTCGGCAAGTTTGACAGAGTTGAGGGGTCTCCAAAGTCTTTCAAATCGTGAAAAATACCTTTCATAATATTATAGGAAAAAGAACGAGAAGTTCACCATTGACAGTCAGTGAACTCAGTGGTTTCTATCAGCTGAATATCTTTGTTCTTCACTCTCTAATATTCAGAAGGATGAGTGATTCAAACTTAAATAAATCAAATTAAATCCCTTTGTTATTTCAAAGTAAGTAATTTATAAACTCAAAGCATTTTAACAAATTTTCATTGTGTTTTCTTTTTTTCAGTTGCTATGACAACACCGTAATCTGAAATTTTGACGCTATTTCTACACACTTCACAAACACAGCATCATAAATGAATATTCGGTAGTTAAATCCCTGGGGTTGGAGAAACCAGTTCCTTTGAGCAGTGACAGTAAAACGCTATGAAAATCCATGGAAAATGATTTTGAGTGCTTTGATAATTTTATATATATATCTGTGCTGCAATTTCTGTTGTACTTGTTGCTAATCCTCTGCTTTTGTGTTCATCGATGCTTGCCTGCCTGTGTTTGTGTGTGCGTGTGTACCTACAAGCGTTTATGTAAACATATAAAAGTTGTGTATTTTGTAATCCTATTTTCAGCGTTCACTTTTCCCGCATTCATGACAATGTGTCCAATGATTTTTAAACAAAAATGATCAATTTTGAATTATTTGTTCAATGTTCAAGAAATTAACCAACGTTTATAATTAGTATGTGCTATATAAAAATATCTTTATATCAATCACTTAATTGTGGAAAAAGCAGAAGTTTAAGAAAAAGAAACATGCAAATTGTGAACATTAATGATAGATTTATTGATATTTTGTCCTGACTTTTATTAACGCCGAAATGTCCCTTGATAGAATGAATGTTGAATTACCCTAAACTATTTCGAAGTGAAAAAAAAATACGAGTACTTTTTCGTCAATTTTATGTTACAGACAACATTTTCTTCTTCTTGTTCGTGTGTGTATGTGCAATCGATAAATAATGAGCATAATTGATTTTTATTATTATTATTGATTTCTTATTTCAAACAATCATTTAGCAAAAAGAGTAAAAGGGTAATAAACTGATGAAGATAATATTTCCCTCCAATTCCTTTTCTTTTATTTGTTTATTTTTTCTAGGCTCATCAGTTTTTCTTCTTTTTCCTGGCTTCTTTTGCGTTTGTCTGTCTGTAAGTGTGTGTAGGTTGTTTGTATTCATTTTCTATGCATTGAACATTTTTTTTGGTAACAATATAAAAGATGTTTGGTTTTAAAAGCACTAAAGTGATTGCTATTGATGAAGGCTTGTTGATTTTGATGATATGTCTAATAGATAAAGGCTTTTCGTGTGTGTGTGTGTGTGACCTAGCCACCTGAATGTTGCTCACTTCTGCCTGATTTTGTAGATTTCATTCCTTCGAGTTTCAATTGGAAGAAGGGCTACAAGCTTTAAGGTTTGAAGTGCTGTTAGAAGTGGTTTTACTGTTGCCACCAGGTTGGATTATCAGTTTCATGTCCAACCTTCCTTGTGTTCCTTGGCTTAGTACTGGGGCTAGGCAAGGTTTAGGTGTGCATCGGCTGGGAATCAAGCTGTAGACCACATGAAGCGAGGTTAGTAAGTTTTCTATTATCAAACTACCCTTGCGATTACAAATATTTTCTCCGAATACTTCCAAAATACAGTAGATTGTATCGATACATATACATTTGCAAATAAGTTCAAGGGAAGATCCAACTTTGAGGCGTAAGTTTAACTGATTAGTGGTACTAAACGTCGCCACGATATTGCAGGTATTTTAATTTATTTCGGTTTAGGTTGTATCATGGACTGACACAGCACCGTGTCATACATGAAGTAGATAAACATCAATGGCAATGGTTGTCAGTGGTGCTAAACATGACTAACAATCAGAAGTGGAAGTTCACGAGTCACTGGGTCTCAAACCAGTGACTAAATGACTAATTAGCTCATCTTGTAACCAAAAAGTCCTGAGGTCACTATCCTGTAGAACCACTGATAGATACTTCCGGAAAGTTCTATGCCAGGAAAAAACCACAGTACAATGCTCCTGATATTTTTATTGTCTCTCAGTCTAACGATGGTCTGTGATGCAGTCTACGTAGGAACACACTTTACTTCTAAGGTTTTCAGCATACACAACTGTATGATGGGTCAAAATTATGTCTAATAAGTTACGGCGTCACTACTCTACAATGTAAACACTAAGACGATAGGTAACGAACGGAAACTTTCAACTCTCAGTTATTTATAATATATAGTTCATGCGCCGTTCAGTATTACTGATTATATTCGTTTTAGAATTCAGGTAAATGTTGTTGGTCAGGACTTTTCTTTGAATGTTGTGCTGGCATATATCTGACCGATTTCGAGTGAACATGGATGAATAAATTTTAGGTGGGTTATTGATTGATTTGATTTTGAAATAGCAGTGAACAGGTCTGCATGAAGTTCGATGCAAGTACACTAACTCACAGGTGCTTCAGGTTGATGGCTGCAGTCTGTCGAAAATCTTAAAAAGTAACAAACTAAAAAAATCGATTAAATACCGAATGTTCAGAAAGTAATGTGTTTCAGGTTGGAACGTTAATATCTCAGCTCCTACTTATACTTGGAGTTGTTCTGCGAGCTGGTATAACAAACAATTCACAATTAGGATATTTTAGGCTCTTTCAGTTCTTTTAGTTACATCAAACCAGATAAACACCTGATAAGCCTTAAACAAGCAAAAACGGCCATCTGGCCGTTTGTATTACTGTGTTTAGGCCCGTCATCTTTATTCTGAAAATTGAGTTTACACGCAGAAAATAAATTTTGGTGTGCTAGTTTTCTGCAAAACGTTTACTCCGCGTATGGAAACCCGAAGTAACCACTTATTGAAAGTATATCTTATGACACAAGGTCGTTTTATCTGGAACAAGATTCAATCCTTCTAGAGACTTTTCTTTCACTTTTTCTCTAAGTGCTGCACAAAGACAGGCTGGATGTCAAATACAAATCTGCATGAGTTTCTGTCACCATCCGAATATATCAATGGAAGCACAAACCAACAAAAAGCAAAGATAATTAGATGCATTATGCCTAGTGGAAATGTTCATGTAGATTAGTGGTATACACAGGCTGCCATATGTTTCGAAACAATCAAATTCCAGTGAACTCAACATCTGAAAAAAACAGGGAATATTAGATAGTTGGAAGCAATCGGCAGGAAGCCTTGGATCTTGGTTTCGTACTGGTTGGCACTCGTCAGCAGATTCAAACCCGCATCATCCGGTGCTGCGGTCAGAGACGTTACCACTGAGCTATTCGGGCTAGCGATTGACCTCCTGTAGGACTGTGGCAGGTATTCTGATTAGACACTAGTAACTAGTGTGACGTGTCTAGTCCCTTCCTTTTTGCAGACTGAATTCTATCAGTCAGGTTTGCTATGTGGCCATCATTATAGGTAGCTCTCCATCACGCTGCCCTCTACAGTCCTACAGGAGATGAATCGCTACCCCGAATAGCTCAGTGGTAACGTCTCTGACCGCAGCACTGGGTGACGCGGGTTTCAGTCTACCCAGAAGGGACATGAGTTCCTTCAAGGTTGCAGATACACCTAGCTAACGAGTGCCAACTAGCACGAAACCTAGATCCAAGGCTTCCTGCTGATTGCCTCCAACTATCTAATATCATCAAATCAATGTGTACCGTGTTGGCGAGCTACTTAGAATGGTGGCCACATTGCAAACCTGACTGACAGAATTTAGTCTGCACCAAAGAGAGAACTAGACACGTCACAGTAGTTACTAGTGTCAAATCAAAAAACAGGAAATAATATTCCAAGTTTTTTGATAACAGATCGATTTCAGTTGAAGAAGTGTTAGGCGAACCAGGGAGCTATGAATGGTTACTTTGCTCTAGTTTGGAAATCTTCAATAGTGAGCAACCGCAAGGGTCCGAAGCTAGGACTTTCCGGTCATAAGACAAGCTGGTATGGTATTCAGCTAGTGGGACCTGCTCCATTGGCCCAGGAATAATAGCTTCTGCCAATTCGTGATTTTAGAGTGAACAGTGGTCAATGTCATCGCAGAGTATTTGTCTCTATGCAATGTCGTCCTTTATCCAGTCACTAGTGAGGGTCGGATTGATTTTCAAAAGTCAGTTTGTGAACAACAAGGATGACAGGCTTACAATGTGCGCTCGTAATATCAGGAACAAAGATAGAAAAAATTCAAAATGCCTTGAAGTCAGACGATAAGAGAAAGATGAAAATAGGAAATTCTTCCAAAATACTTTATGTATGATATATATATAACACTTAGTGAAACAGTGTTACTAAGGGAGACAAGTCTTTCTGTGATATTCACAGAGGGATTAGCTTGACTAATATAGTATCTAAAGTCCTAGGCTCAATAATCATGCGTAGACTAAGTGGTGCTCGGGAGGCACAAACTCGAGAGAGCCAGGCAGGCTTTAGACCAGGAAGAGGGTGTATTGATCATATCTTCACCCTCCGACAGATTCTAGAACACAGGCATTCCTACCGGCGTCCAACAGTCATTTTATTTAGATATGATAGAGAAGATTTGTAGCTCAGGTGGATAATTTTGATGTGGTTTTGTCCTCTGAGCTGGATAGTTAGTTTGCGAAGCTTTCATCACCTTACTGGGTGACATCTTCAGCGCATACTTCAAATTGAAGTATGCGCTGAAGATGTCACCCAGTAAGGTGATGAAAGCTTCGCAAACTAACTATCCAGCTCAGAGGACAAAACCACATCAAAAAAAGTCATTATATTTCTTGACCTAAAGGCAGCATTCGACTCTGTCGACCGAGAACTTCTTTGGGAATGCTTGGCTGTAAAAAGAATGCCGAGAAAATATATTGCTCTGATTAAGGCACTCTACTCGTACTCATGCCATCAGCCAGGTGAGGGCTTACGGCGAGTTGTCATCTGAAGTGGTGATTACTGGTGGTGTCCGTCAGGGATGCCCATTATCCCCTTTTCTATTCAACTTCATCATAGATGTACTAATGGACTTTACCCTAACTCACTTCAGCGACTCAGGGATTGACTTGCTACCGGGGAATAATCTCGTTGACTTGGAATATGCAGACGATATAGTCCTTCTAGGCGAAGACGCTGACGAAATGCAGAGTCTTCTAAACACCTTGAGCCGCAATCTACGAATGTTTGGCATGCGATTCGCTCCCGCCAAATGCA